CAGGGGTTACAGAGGTGAACAGTGCGATGTGAGGCTTTTTGGAGGGGGCTGCTGGTGCTGGTGGAGTGAGTGGCAGTGGCATGTGGAAGTTTTCCTTTTGAAGTAAAGGAAGATCCCAGGCTGCTTCCTTGTTGGTGTTCTGGAATTTTACATTTGCTCTGTTTGTCAGTATGCACTTTTCAAAATTATCCAGTGGATTCACAGTAACAGTAAGACACGTAAGAAATACAATCAGTTTAGCGGCTTGATTGTTTTCAATTTCTTATCACTGAAAACTCTGCTCACAGTATTTTTGAATGTTAGCAGTGATATGTAGCCAGATTAATTCCCTGGCCTGGTCACACTTATGCTGCAGCAGTTATTTTTAGATGCTATAAGCCGTCTTCTGATACATGAGACGCAAGTGCCATCAAAACAGCAGAGTAGTTCAGCCACCAAACAGATTTCACAGACTGTCGGTACTTCGAATGAAATCAGAACAAAGCTATGATCATGTGGTGAAGGAGGCCTATGTAATGTCACAGGATTACATCAGGTATGTGACTAGAAGGACATCAAAACCAGCTCCTAGCATGGCTTCAGCAGCCCTGAGACATGCGGGCGATGACCTCCTGGAAAAATATCCCATCTTCTTCAAGCGATGGCCCCGGATTTTCAGGGAGGTTTGTTCTGATGATGCCTGTGATTACTTATTCAAGATGCTGGATGAGCATTTCCAACCAGAGAAACCCTGGCAAAAGAAGGAGCTGACCTGGAGTGGGATACTTTCCATTTATGTCCTGGCAGGGCAGCTGGCCAAACACTGCCAGGCGAATGGCATGGAGTCCGTGCTGGAGGAGCTGGAATTCAGAGTGGGTCAGTACGTGGAGAGAAAAGTGTGTCCACATATTAGAGAAAAGGGAGGATGGGTAAGTATCACTGAAATAAATAGCTCTCACTCAGTGGCTCTGATGTAATCAAATAATTTAAATGCCCTAATCAGCATGTAGCTTACCATCTAGCAACAATGAAGTTCTGAGGAAGCTGTACCAGTGCGTTTGCAGAGGTAGTAGGAACTGCAAATGCTGGACAATCTGAGATAACAAGGTGTAGAGCTGGATGAACACAGCAGGCCAAGCAGCATC